GATACACGGAAGAGATGTCCAAGGCAACTCTCTCATTGTTGGACAAGCCTTACGTGTGCGTTTCAAAGGTTCTCAAGGTCAATGTGCGCATAAGTATTGGGTTTTACACTTCCAATTTCGACATGGATTTTGGCTCAGTGGTTTAGAGTGGTGCCTCCAATCTGATGAGTGAGGGTTCGGGTCCCACTACGGTTAAAATTAAGAAGCGGTTACTTGGTGTTTGGGGTTCACCAAGCTCCCCACCAGGAGTCACTTCCCTCGGCCGTCTTTTGATCGTTTGTTCATTGATCAACAGATTTTAAGGTGATGTAACCATAAATGTTTTCACGTACTATTAGATTGTATATTAGAGTTGTTACATTGTAGTATATATTGATAGCTAGGTATAAATTGAGAAGTCATTACGTCTATAAATAATAATATAGACAAACTTTCAACAAGAACGTGATTTTACTATAACCCGTACAACAATTCAAGCAGGAACATATGGTGAAATATAAAGTATGCCCGAAATGGCAACTAGAAGTTCTTGGCGCTGTGTTAGCCTCAACATCGTGCCATATACGTGAAACTGCTGTGTCGAGAGCTTGCCATGGATGTTGTGCTAGCACCGGAAGCGAAGATTTGGTTTGCAAAGCAGTTTCGGAATCAATGACGAACTGTGTGTCCAATCCAGCTTCTTACTCTGCGCTGGAAGCAAGACTCACATAAAGTTAGATCAGTTGACGCTTACAAATCGAAATGAAAACGAAGACTGGTGTTATTGACGCTATATCGGACATCGTATCTACTGACTTGGTTGACACTATGGACATGGTAAACTTAGCAAAGTAGACATGGATCTACCCTTTGGGTAATACGAAGATGATTCACTGCCATTTAGTGTGAGCAGTAACTTAGTTTCGGAAGTGAAAGAAATCTAGTTCATTCATAACCTAAAGTGAATACGCTGATAATTGTCCTTTCTCCAATCACCCTGATGGTGTGAAGAAGTGATGGACGGCATTTTGCCTGCAAAAGTGTCGAAAAGAGGACACTGGCTCCACATTTCGAAAATAATTGAAGTGGCTGCTCAACTACGTGTGAGGTGGACGTGCTGCGACGCGTTGATCATCCGCACATCAATAATCTCGAAGAGTATTCCGAAGATCAAGATTGTTGTAGTCGAGTACATCACATTCACAATTCTATTTCTACTTTGTGTATGTCGAAAACACCAGAAAGTATCCCCGATGGAGCTCTGAGACAATGATTGAACAAACAGGCACAGAAATTGGTAGTCGAGATATGCCTTGGTATGGCTGATACTTTGCATTAAGTTGAGGTCTTTAGCCAACAAGCAGCTTTACTTGACTTCAGTTTGAAGTGTATAAGGTTGGTAGTAGCATCCCATGCCGACTTCATTGACATAAAAGTCTTCCAAATTGTAGAAAAGTTATCAAATATTCTTTCGTGAAATTTTTTGTAGCAACGATAAACTATTACTCTTATTGAAGTCTTGCAAATGCAGCAAAATAAAAAACAACATACCGTAGTTAACAAAAAGATTAATTGAGGCATTTTCAAATAGCGATTGAGTCAACATTAAAAGTGACCAATTATCACAAGAAATTGTGATTATTTTGTGAGCTTTTGATGCACCATTTTCAAAATTCAAACAAGTGAAAAAGGCTTTATTCCAGGTCCAACGATCGCTGATTGTCGATGAGCGATTGATATACACCGTTCTCCTCGTGTTTCGCCAAGTATTCAGCCAATACAGACTGATTTGCACAACGAAAATCCTTTCCGTTAGGTTGCAAAGGCCTTTGCAACCTCTGAGCGAGTCGGCATGCGGGCATTGACATCTTCG